AGACTTGCCACGGTCTCCAACCCTCCTCCTTTCTCATCCGGGCTTGGGACCGGCCATGGCGGAGTTATGGCCTAACTTACTTCACAGGATCATGCTACTGCATTTCAGCTGAAAATCTTAACTGGCCATATCTAAAGGTGCTACCATTTGCGTCATTCTAAACCGCCGACGTCCTCCAACGATCATGATAACTTCATAACAGAAGTAACTGTTGTTTACTCGAAAAATCCCAAACAAATTTACTCAAAATATAAATGCGTACGCCGGATTGCTTCTGTGGATTAAGCAAACGCTTCTAAACAGATTCAGCGTACCAAATCGTATTTTGACTGTTTTGCAAAAACTGGAAAAGGTCACTGACGAGCAGCAATGTATTGGATCAGTGAGTACCATTATTAGCCTTAAGGGCTATTAGCCATTGTTTGTTTAAATAGTCCAAAAGTCAACTAGGAACAAATCCATCATGTCATAAAATCAAGTTTCGGAGGAGTCAAGCATTTATAATAAAATTCCTCGGCGTATTAACACATACTCGATTGTTCTGGGAAAGTGGCTAACAATCCCGGCTCCTGATAGAGCGCAGACGAGCATTGATTAAACCAAAGGATTCAAATAGTATAGACTGTCCGCCCAGATAAGTGGCTACCAAATGCTACTATGAACAAGGGAGCGGTGAAAAATCCTGTTGTAGAACAGATAAACGCGTGTCAGGGCAAGCTTTCCTTCGGAATTTTTTTTATATAACATAAACATGAGGCATTTTAGTAAACCCGTCGTACAGGTGGTTTAATAAATCAGCGACAAATAAATTCTCATAAAAATTGTCGTTCGTTACTGGCAATTTTGATTCGTATTACCAGAAGTTGAAGTCCAAAATCAGTAAATTACCCCGCTGCTTAGAAAAATGTTTAAACATACACTGGAAGCAAACAACTAGCACATATTTGTAATGAAAAACAATTTAGAAAGGTTCTATTTTAAGCACACTCCGCAGCAAAACAATAAATAATAGCATGACTCATAATAATATGAAATTGGTAGCACAACGAGACGGTGAAGAGGTCGAAGCTACGTGGAGGAAATATGACGCAGTCAGCACACGAAGCACACGTTGTGCATCTAACTCTCAGTGGTCGTTTTCTCGGCTGTCAATTCTCTGACGCGTTTCAGATTGCACTCCTTGCACAGAATACGGCCATCTAGTGGGTAGCATTCATGGCCTTCAATTTTTGAAGACAGTTTCAGCGAACAATCCTAAAATACCTCGTAAGATTTGACAGTGAAACGGTTTTAAGAACAGCTTTTTGTCAACCAACCGACCTCACACTTGTAACAGTCCAAGTGAAAGCTTTTGTCCATTGCCACAACACGCATAGACTCCTGGCTTCCTTCGGGAGGAATAATGGGCTCATGACATATTGCACAACGAGGCGCGTACTTCCTGAAAGCGAAATGTTGCAACATAACGTAAGTCGAACAAACAAAATATTAATCAGTAAAATGTAAATAACCCTGAAAAACTTCAACTTGACTTTCACGCTGTAAACATGAGACAATGAGCAGAGTACGGTGTGGAGTGCCATAATTAGGCTTGAAGAACTGTAGTTGTTGTGCCACTCTTACATTTCGGCGAAATGGAAACTGTAACGTTAGGAGGTCGGTATTACTCTTTCGACTGAGTGCAGCGTGTTCCACTTTTTCTGTTATAAGGCTTACTATGCGGCGCTAATCTTAGTCTCCATTTCATCAGCCAGAAATGCCTCAGTTTACTGTGATCACTGCAGCGTGCAGACGTGTGGTGTTCCTCGACCTTAGAAAGGAGAATGACCGTACCAGGGCTCAAATCACGGACCTCTCGGTTCTGGGTTTCATGTGTGCAACCGATGAGCCAATCCGGAAACTCTGTTGCAAACACAGTAACGATGGACCACCGCAACAGCGTTATACGAATGTTACAGACTTTCTCAAGCATTAAAAAATCGAAAGATAGGTCGAAAACGCGGGGAAATTAGTTCAGATCGTCACCTAGTACTTATTGAGCAGGACCGAGGTATATTACAGCTCTACGTTCAAATAAATCAGAATCTTGAAATTGCCACAGAAGGTGAGCAAAAAATCGAATGGAACAACGAGACGATATATTCAGTATTAATTATGACACCAGGAATTTAAACTGTAACATTTCATGGCAGTTCAAGACGTTTATTTATTATTACCATGCATCAAGTATCAGTCTTCAACAGATCAAACAATAATAATAAATGACATCAACCAAAAAAAATCAGTTGATTAACGGGTTCTTCTCTAAGAAGCACGGAATGACCACATTTGAATGAAGAACTTAGGTGGCATTAATAATATCGCAGAAGAAATGATGATAATTTTCCCTAGGAACAATGAAGCTCAGATCAAAAACAAATCAAAACGAATATTTTAAGCTCGCTGCGTTTAGAAACAATGAATGGCATTCTATACAAAACTTTCATTAAATGCACGCCAGAAATAAGCAGATTATAGATACGGCAAATAATAGAGTCAATCTCTAGATTAAGATAAAAATACACATTAAATCATCCACTTCT